GTATAAATCTTTTTGACATTTTTTATGCTTATACAGATAAACAAATTTATTTTAAGTATATAGAGAGTTTTTTGTTTGTTATAATGATGTAGTCATGTGTGTATGAACTGCAGCTTAACTTATTCTACTCAGTAATTTTTTTTTTTTTTTTAAAGATGACTGGTAAGGGGTTCTTAACCCTTGACTTGGTGTTGTCAGCACCACACTCTCCCAAGTGAGCTAAGCGGCCATCCCTATATAGGGATCCAAACCCATGGCCTTGGTGTTATCAGCACCACACCCTCCCAAGTGAGCTAAGCAGCCATCCCTATATCGGGATCCAAACCCATGGCCTTGGTGTTATCAGCACCACACTCTCCCAAGTGAGCCACAGGCCGACCTTCCACCCAGTAATTTATTAATGGATTTTTCTATGTTGGAATGTGTAGGTCTATTTCATTCTATTAAATGTATTTTATTTGGGGCCGGCCCATGGCTCACTCAGGAGAGTGTGGTGCTGATAACACCAAGGCCATGGGTTCGGATCCCATATAGGGATGGCCGGTTCGCTCACTGGCTGAGCGTGGTGCTGACAACACCAAGTCAAGGGTTAAGATCCCCTTACTGGTCATCTTTAAAAAAAAAAAAAAAAGTATTTTATTTTATGGATATACTATAGTTTATGTATTTATACCCTATTTGGAAACCTAAGTTATATCCAATTTTTTGTTTTACAAACAATTTATCAGTGAATGTCTTTGCTCATAGATCTTTGTGTATAAGGAATAGGGTAGGATGACTGTGTACGATGAGTGCCCGTTTTCTCACATCTAGCCAATATTGGATGGTACTAATCTTTATTATTTTTTGTTTGCATTTCTTTTTTTTAGTGACGTTGAGCATTCTTTGATTTTTAAATATCTGATTTTTATTTTTATGCTTAATGTGATTCTTCCTGTGAGACATTTAAATAAATAATTGGATTGACAGAACAGCATACCTAAAAAAGAAGCTTAAACTTTCTGATAAGAGATATCATATCTCACCACTCACCCAACCAGCTAACTCCTGGTCCCTCAAAGTTCAGTTGAGGCATTAGTTTCTCTGACAAGCTTTTCCTGCCCTCTTGGTCTGATTTAGATTTCTACTTTTTGTCCTCCCATAGCACATGGCATCTTTCTTGGAGCGCTTAAACAATATTATAGTTATTTATTCTCTTCCAGACTGTAAGCTCCTTGAAGCCAAAGCTGTTTTCTTATTATTTGAATTCTGTATGCCTGAACACCCAAATATTTATTGAATGAATTTTTGTTTTCTTTTTAGTACCAGGTGTTGCTGAATTTGCAGCTTCCTTCAAAAGTGTAAGTAATGCCTTACTTACCTAATGAAGTTTGTCCAAAGTTCTGCCAGTGGGTAAAAGCTCAAATCTCTTTTATTTCTTTATTTTCAAGAACAATGTTTTAGCCTTCAAATCATTTTGTAACTGCAGCCCTGTAAATTTGTTTATATTATCAGCATGTTAATTGATGAAAATGTTTTCCTCTGTCCAATTGCTCTATTTTGACATTTTGACCTTTTCTCTTAACCTCTTTTCTCCACTTGAAAGCTTTTTAAGGTAAGGCAGTTGAAATATTTAATGTAACACCAGTACTCTTTGTGCCCAAACTATAATTTTGAAGCTTTCTCTTTTATTTATTTGATGAGTTATAACCTAAATTTTTTTTTTTTTGCGCTGGCTGGTATGGGGATCTGAAGCCATTATGATCTTAACTTATACCTTCTTAGAGGATTTTGAAATTTCTTGGTGCTCCATGAGAAACCTGAAGGAAGACATCCATTTAGAGCGACAGACTTTTTCACTTTCAGGGCAGCAGGCATTGTGCTTGATGCTCTAAATATGTTCCCTTATATATTCCCACAACCAAGAAAATATGATGATAATAATGTTAGCAAACACTTACATAGGGCTTACCATGTGTTAGGCACAGTTCTAAGTACTTTACATATGTTATTTAATCTTTCCCAAACCATATGAGGTATAGGTAGTGTTGTCATCATCCCCAGACAAGGAAGTTACCCAAGTTTATAGGCTGTAAGTAGCAGAACCAGGCTCTGAACCCATTAGTCTGATTATTGCTGTCTATATTACTATCACCATACTTAGAAGTATTTGGGCCCAATGTTAAAAGCACTGGCTGGCAGCAAAACTTGAAAGTGACAGACCAGGATTTGAATAGAGATTCCAAAGTTCATGCTCTTTCTTTTAAACCATGCAGTTGGGGATTCTAATATAACTCTCATAGTACCTTACTAAATGCTTAGCATTCCCTACTCATTATTTAGAGTTAAAAGTGCTGAGTTAAATATTAAGGTGCCTCTGGGCCTGAGGCTTTCAGGTCCCATTAGAGTATTTGTTTAGAGGGAGTCTGACTTTGTGGTCTCTTTAATTTGTTCAGGAGCTAGCTATGAATACTGGTCTGTGCTTCTTCAGCATCCAATAAGGCCTGAGCATAAGGAGTGCAGGATAGCATACAGCTTTAGAGTCAGACACACTTGGATTTGAGTCCTGCCTCTGCTACTTAACTCTGTGATCTGAGCAAACTTTCTAACATTTTTGAGTCTTAGTTTTCTCATCTGAAACTACCTCATAGAGTTCTTAGTATAGAATGCCTTAATTGCATGTAAAACACTCTCCATAGTGCCTAGGACATAATAAACAATACAAGGTAGCTATTATTTTTAGATCAGCTTCTGTTTAGTAGATGGTATGTAATTTAATTTTCTTTCATTATCATTTATACTTAGTTTTCAGTTTAGTTAATTATATTTGGTTACAACTAAATATTTTAAGATGTAAATATAAATGTGTGGATTTTTTTTTTTAAACTTGTAGAGTATGGTGTTTTAAAAAAAAACCTGATTAAATATCTACACCGTTTCTCTAGAAATATGCACATACAAATTACTTTGAGTTTTGTTTCTGTGGGTTCGTATAGTCTTTTTCCCTACGAGGGGTAAAACATTGAGTTTGACTTTTTTTTTTTTGTCTTTTTTTCCGTGTCCGGCAACGGATCGCAACCCTCAGTGTCGCCCCCGCACCGGACTGGGACCGGCAATGGGACCGCAACCCTCGGTGTTGCTCCCGCGCCTCGCTCAGCCAGTGAGCGGGAACCGGTCTGTATGTGGGATCCGAACCCTCGGGCAGGAGCGCCGCCGCGCTTCCCAAGCGGCGCACTATCCAGTGCGCCACCGGGCCGGCCCTGAGTTTGACTTTTGAATCTTTTAAGGGAGGCAGTATAGAGTACAGAAGTTCCCTGACTTAGGATGACGTGACTTTACAATGAGAAACCATACCCATACAACTGATCTGTTTTTCTCTTTCAGTACAGTATTCAATAACTTACAGGGGATTTTCAAAACTTTATTATAAAATAGGCTTTGTGTTAGATGATTTTGCCCAACTGTAGGCTAATGTATGTGTTCTTCACACATTTAAGGCAGACTAAGGCTAAGCTATGAAACTTAGTAGGTTAGGTGTATTACATACATTTTCAACTTAGGATATTTTCAATTTACAATGGATTTGTCAGTACGTAACCCCATTGTAAGTTAAGGAACATCTGTAGTGGTTTCTGGACTAAGAGTACCTGGGTTTTAAATCCTGGCTTCTCTAGCAGGTGACCTGAGGCAAGTGATTTATAGTCTTCCTGTACTTTGAGTTTTTTTCATTTGTGAGATTGGGATAATGATACCTTCTTCATAGGGTTGATTTGGAGGTAAATGACATGATGCATGTAAGATGTTTTGCTTGTCACATAATACTGAGTGTATTAGTCTATTTCTGTTGCTTATAACACAATACCTGAAACTGGGTAATTTATAAAGAAATAGAATTTATTTATTACAGTTCAGAGGCTGGGAAGTCCAAAGTCCAGGGAACACATCTGGTGAGGGCCTTCTTCTGTAGCAACACAGGACATCACATGGTGAATGGGCTGAGCAACAGTGAATTAACCTTCTTACTCACTTCCTTTTAAAGCCATCAAAACCATGCCCACTACTCCATGAAGGTATCAATCCATTTATGAAGGCACAGTCTTCACAATCTAATCACCTCTTAAGTGCCCCGCCTTTCAATTACCATAATTGTACTTCCCACCCTTTTAACACTGTTACAGTGGGGATTAAGTTTCCAATATGTGAACCTTTGGGGTACACATTTAACCTATAGCACTGAGTAAATTTTATTTAAAAAAAAAAAAAAGGAGCAGGGCTCAAAGCTGAAGTAATGTTTCTCAAGCCTACCCCTACCTGTTTCACAGAAACATCTGTGTGCATCTGTTGAGCTTCGCAAAATACATATGTGGAGTCCCTTGCTCTGTTCTCTGTACTGGATCCTCCCTAACCCTTGATATTCTAAAAGAACATCTGGGGTGTGGCCAAGGCATTTGTATATTTTTAAAGTTACATAGGTGATTCTCATGTGCAACTAGGGTTGAAAACTTCTGAAAATTCTTAAACTTCTTAAAATTTTTAAGTTTTCTAAAACTTCTACCATAAAATTATGAAATTTCAAGTGATAACCATCCAGGTTTTTCTCACTTAAATTGAGGATTTTCTCAATCTTGATTCTTTGAATCTTTTCCTCTGCCAGAGAATGTTACTTACTGATTATTGTTTCAAACAGTTCAGTTGGAGGCTTTTATCAGAACTGAATTTCAAGTAATTTCTTTCATTGCTATACTAACTTGTTATGTATAAAACAGTAACAGTAGTCACATCTAAGTCCAATATCATTTCTCTGAGACTAATTTTAAAGATGAGCAGTATTATTTTGTAAAAAGACTATTTGTTGGCCATATCTGAATCTGGAGTAATCTGGGTTTTTGAAATTATAATTTGCCAATATTTTCAAACAACCTGAAGGCTGTGTGACAAGGTACATTTCTTATAAGAAGGAAGAATAGGGTCTTTTCACACTTTGTATGTATCTGAATGGATATATTCTTATTTTCTGACAGCCTATTACTAGCTCTCCACCCAAATGGATGGCTGAAATAGAACGTGATGACATCGACATGTTGAAAGGTAAGTGATGCTGGTGACCTCTAACTTTTAACCTGTCATTTATGTTCCTCCATAAACCACTTTTCCAATTTTTCTCTCACTATTCCCATACCAGTACACTTCGAACCGAACACTTAATCATCTTTATTCATAGTTCTTCATGTCTGGGATGCCTTTCTCTACTTTTTCCATATGTGGAAATCCTGCCAATTCAAGACTCAATCACACTAAATTCTGCTGCTGCTAAATTCTTTTAATATTAACTTTATTTTATATAATGCTTACAATTAACAAAAATCTCTCACATAAATTTTCTCATTTAATTCTCATAAAGATCCTGTGAGTTAGGTATGTTGATATTCAAGTTTCAGAGGTTAACTTAACCAAGATTTATTAGAGAGAGTTAAAATTTAAACTCTGTCTTTTATTTTAGGTCTAGTCTCTTTTCATTATAACACAAGTGACTTATTTTAGGATTTATTGCCATATATTGTTGTCACTAGTATGATATAACAATTCCTTAGTTGGTTAAGACCTGTTTTTTCTTTCTTTCTTTCTTTTTTTTTTTTTTTTCCTTTTTGTCTTTTTTAGTGTCCGGCAACGGATCGCAACCCTCAGT